AAGTGCTGGGATTACAGGTGTGAGCCACTGCTCCCAGCCAACCTGGCATGTCTTTCAAAGGAAAATAAGTACTTAGCTGTTTGAAGTACCTAAAAGATAATCTGGGGGTCTTGAGGTGGAAGGTATTAGAAAAATTTTTCAAACACTTGAAGTCCTGAAGGAAAAGACTAGGGCTCTCAAGACTTTTATAAGGAAGATTCATATCTGGGGGAGGGCGTTATATAATAGAACAGCTGGAACTAAAGAGATCCTTCTACATGCCAGACATGTGCTCAGATCTTTACAAACACAATTCATTTAAATCTCCACTTAATAGCAAAGGTAATTATTGTCCTGGCCTCATAGATGAGGACGATGAGGCATAGAAGATATAGTTACAAGGTCATGTAGCTAGAAGGTAACAGGATCAGGACTGTGGTCGAGGAAGATGCCAAGCTAGCTGAGGGAGGAAACACATTCTGAGTAGATAGAGGAAGGCCATTTCTTACTGGCAACCCACGTCTAAGGTCCTTAGGAATTTTCTGAATGAAAATCATGATGTTCCTCCAGGCCTCACCTACCCTTTTTAGTGAAGTTGCTTTCACTGCAGTAGCATAAGCTCAGTGATGATTTGCCTGATCCACTGACAAATTGTTCATGCCTAATTCTCAAAAGCACTAAACCTGGGGAGGCAGAAAAAGGGGTCCCACAAGTTGGGCATTTAGAACACCTTCAAGTTTCTCCACATTTTCCCAAAGCCAGAGCTCTGAGGCCTCTCCTCATTACAGAAGGTAATAACTGAAACTTGAGAGTGTATCCTTCCAAATGGAAGAAGTTAGTAGTTTACTTAGAAGTCAACTTTAATACTTCCCTCTTCCTCAACCCCAACATCCAATTCATCAACCATCTCCAGAATTCTACCTCTAAAATGCATTTGAAACCATCCAATTTTCTCCATATCAACCCTAATCTAATAAGTATCATCTCTGGCTTAAATTACTGTAGCATGTTAACTGCATCCATTTTCACCCACCACTAGTTCATTCCCACAATGCTTTAAACTAAATGTAAATTCTGCAATGGCGGGTCATTGCAATTAAGAAAAACTCCAACTAACTTACAATGGGCTACAAGGTGCTGCAAAATTTGACCCCTGCCCACCTTTTAAACTTCCCCTCATGCCAGTTTCACCCTTGTTCACCATATTTCAGCCTTCAAAAGTATTTCTTATTCCTAACTTGCCCTTCAGAGCTCATCCAACCACATGGAACTGTCTCTTCTCAGCTCTTACATGATTGGCACAATTCAAATGTCATTTCTCAGTTTGAATGTCACTCCTCAGTGACTCACTCTCATTTTCCCCACCCTCAGTCCTTCTTCATCCTTTCATTCCTTACCTCCTAGTATTTGTGAAAATTTGCTACTATTTTAGTGGTTTATTTTTTGTTCTTTGGCTATCCCACACATTTGACTCTAAGCTCCACAAGAGCAAAAGCTCATGTCTGTTTTTTCTCTGGAATTCATGTGTTTACTGTAGTCTCTGGCTCATGTTCTCTATTCCCAGTGCTGTAATAAGACATTTTGAGTCCCTAAGCACTGTTAAAATTATGAAAAGTATGGTGCTTCCCATAAATAACTAAAAATAAAAACTACAGTTACAATAAAGCTTATACTAAAATCAAACTGGCTTTTATTTGTAGAATTTCTGGATTGTAAAATTCTGGGAAAGGTCATTGAAACAGACGTTTTCTCATTTCTTTGGTGTCCCTGATGTTTTGGTAACCTAGGCCCACGTGTTATCTGCCACGGTAATATACAACTGTCCAGGACCTGAAAGGGAAAAACTGCTTCTCATTTTAGCTTCAGAGCAAAGGTTTGTATTATCATGCGAATATGACTTAATAAATCTGTAATGGAGCAGTGGTTGCTGTGAACATTATAACTTTTTTTCTACGGTTAGAAGAATTAATCCTTTGGCCTGGTTTCATTTATTCTTATCTCACACGGCTTGTCAGCTCCATAGCTATTGACAAGCCCTAATCCCCTAAGTAAATTAACAGAAGAAAAATGGAGGAAAGAAGTTGTGTGTTTATGCATGTTGGGAGATGGAGAAGGCAGATTATTTTGATAAACACGTAGGTGGCACATAATGGGAACCATGTTCTGTGCTAGGAATCAGGATTAAACAACACTTGAGCAGCATGCCATGTTCTTAAGCATATCAGGACCTACATGCATACTCTAAACCACCTGCTTCCACTTCACCCCACAATCTCTCCAGTAATATCTTCCCTGGGATTCCAAACTACATTGTACTTTTCTTTTATCTGCTGTCAGAGCTGCCCGATTTTCTCTATTGTAGTGCTCAACATAATTTATTTTAAGTAATTATGTAATCTCTCTTTCCTCTTAGACCATAAGCTCCATAAGGGGAGTTCTCATGTTTCCTGACTCATAGCTACATCTCTGATACTTAGTAACAGCGTGCAATAGCAAGTAGCAATAAATATTTCTTAGATTAAGTAACAATGAGTGAATGAATGAACTTTAACCTTGACCTCAAAAGGCTTGCACTAAAATCAGAGAGAAAGACAAAGAAAAGAATATTTTCCATTCATCATCATAAGTGTAGTTAAGATGCATCATGGTACAATGGAAACCCTTGCTTCAATGCTAATCCTGGTATCAGTAAAGATGCACTGAAGAAAGTAATGGTTAAGTTTTAAAGGTTGAAGAATTGAGGCAGCAAAGGAACCTCAGGTGGTACTAGACGGAGCAAACACAGAAGTGTCTACCTGCTATGCAGGAAGTCATCTGTCAGATCATTGACCATAGAGTGTAGAGTTCATAGGAGAGTTCTTCTAATATATTTGTATACTGAAACTATTGATAAAGAACATTCAATGAGGTCAGAATGAGATCCTTATTCTTAGCAAACTCAAGAAGATCCTTACTGCTTACATTTAATGTTCTCTGTAAATATATAATGTATTAATAATCTCTTATAAAGGAGGCAGAAGACAAACAACAGTCACTTATGAATGCCTTTGTCTTTGCCTTCTTTTGGGGAAAATCAGGCTTTTGACTAAGTATGAGATAAGTATCTTCAGAATTCCTCATTATCTGTTGGCGGCTGGTCTGCAGCCATAACAGCAAGCTTTTAGAATAATCCCAAGTGATCTGATTGATTTGGAAACATCCAGAAAAATGTGCTAGGCATAACCATAGTTAATAACATTGTGTTTATAAGAATATTGATATTATTTATCATTTATTACATGCCAGTTACTCCTTAATACTTTGCACACACAAACTTCAAAAACAACTCAATAGGACCACAGACTTTCAACAACCCAGGGAGTGATCTTGGAAGCAGATCCCTGAACTCAGTCAAGACTTCATATGAGACTGCAACCACAGCCAACCATTTAACTACAACCTCATGAGAGACTTTGAGCCAGAAGCTGTGAGCTAAGCCACTCCCAGATGTCTGCCCCACAAACACTATGAGTTACTAAATGATATTTCACAGTGCAAACAAATCACACAGAACAATAACTAAGTGGGGTAGGTACTGCTCTAATGTCATACAGATAAAGAAACTGAGCCATAAATAAATAAAACAACTTTTCCAAGGTCACTCAGAAGAGAAATCGTAAAGCCTGGACTCAATCAGTAAGTCTGTTTCCAGAGCCCACACTTTGCAGCTTCCTCCCATTATACTGTGTTATCTCCTGAAATTTTAATGCCACTTTTGAAGCCAAGACCCATACCCTGTGCTTTTTCAGACATCTCACAGAATTCAGAAGTCAAAGTTGGAAAAGTCCCAGGAGAGGCAGACAGTTTGGTCACAATTAACACCATTCTTAGAAGAAAATCAGTGTTTCCCAAAAAACATCATGCCTACGTAGTGAGGATATGTTAGATGACTTCAAACATGACTTCAAACATGTTAGATGACTTCATACATGAGCAAACATTTTTACTTTAATAACTATGTATTTTTAAAATCTGTGTCAGATAAACATTATGTTAATATGCATGTGTGCTAAATAAGGTAACTAGTATAATTATCTCAGAATTTAATTGTGAGAAATATCAACAGTATATTATCTGAACAAATTGTATTATTATAAATTACAGAACCATGATTCAATGCAGAAAGTTGTTCCTTTATTGATTTACTGGTTTATCCTTCAACAAATATTTATTGGGCACCTAATATAGCCCAGACACTAGTCACATACAGAGAAATAAAAATCGCTGCTCTCCAATAGTTTACATTCTAACAGGAAGAAACAAATAAAGAAATTTAATAGCACACAAAAACTACAGTATATTACTAATATATAATATAGTAGTAATAGAGTATATTACTAATATATAATATAGTAGTAATAGAGTATATTACTAATATATAGTAGTAATAGAGTATATTACTAATATATAGTAGTAATAGAGTAATTACTAATATATAGTATAGTAGTAATAGAGTATATTACTAATATATAATATAGTAGTAATGCTATACATCATATTATAGTATAGCATACCACATTAAACTACATTATATTATATGATAACATACTGTATTATATTATCATATGGTATATTACTATTAATTTTATATATAGTATATAGAAAAATAGAGCATGGTAAGAGAGGGGATGGTAAAAGAGAGGTGTGAATTTTTTTTTAATTAAAAATTATTATAAATAAAGTTGAAGTCTTTGTTTTACTAAAAAAATTAAGAATTTGTTTTTTTTTTAATTTTTTATTGGATTATAGGTTTTGGGGTACATGAGCAGAGCATGCAAGACAGTTGCGTAGGTACACACATGGCAGTGTGCTTTGCTTTTCTTCTCCCCTTCACCCACATTTGACATTTCTCCCCAGGCTATCCCTCCCCACCCCCCCTCCCACTGGCCCTCCCCTTTTCCCCCCAATAGACCCCACTGTTTAGTACTCCCCTTTCTGTGTCCATGTGTTCTCATTTTTCATCACCCACCTATGAGTGAGAATATGCGGTGTTTCATTTTCTGTTCTTGTGTCAGTTTGCTGAGGATGATGTTTTCCAGATTCATCCATGTCCCTACAAACGACACAAACTCATCATTTCTGATTGCTGCATAATATTCCATGGTGTATATGTGCCACATTTTTCCAATCCAGTCTATTATCAATGGGCATTTGGGTTGATTCCAGGTCTTTGCTATTGTAAACAGTGCTGCAATGAACATTCGTGTACATGTGTCCTTATAGTAGAACGATTTATAGTCTTTTGGATATACACCCAGTAATGGGATTGCTGGGTCAAATGGAATTTCTATTTCTAAGGCCTTGAGGAATCGCCACACTGTCTTCCACAATGGTTGAACTAATTTACACTCCCACCAACAGTGTAAAAGTGTTCCTTTTTCTCCACATCCTCTCCAGCATCTGTTGTCTCCAGATTTTTTAATGATCGCCATTCTAACTGGCGTGAGATGGTATCTCAATGTGGTTTTGATTTGCATCTCTCTGATGACCAGTGACGATGAGCATTTTTTCATATGATTGTTGGCCTCATATATGTCTTCTTTCGTAAAGTATCTGTTCATATCCTTTGCCCACTTTTGAATGGGCTTGTTTGTTTTTTTCCTGTAAATCTGTTTGAGTTCTTAAGAATTTGTTTTCATTTGCTTCTTATGGGTCCATTATCTCTTTCTTTCTTTCTTTTTATTTTTTTTTAAGATGGAGTTTCAGTCTTTTTGCCCAGGCTGAAGGTTCAAATGGCATGACCTCAGCTCACTTCAACCTCCGCCTTCCAGTTTCAAGTGATGCTCCTGCCTCACCCTCCCAAGTAGCTGGGATTACAGGAGCCAGGTTTTTAGTAGAGCCGGGTTTACACCATGTTGGCCAGGCTGGTCTTTAATTCCTGACCTCGTAATCCACCTGCTTCAGCCTCCCAAAGTGCTGGAATTACAGATGTGAGCCACTGGACCTGGACCGTCATCTTTACCATGTCAATTTTCATTTATGTTTTGCTGAAGTCAGAGACAAATTTCACTTAAAAATGAATAAATAACAAATTAAGTAAATCAGAAATAATTGCAATAAATAAGGGAAAACTATTATTAAGTAATGATAACGGTGCTACCTGGACGTGACCAAAAAGAAATAAGAAAGTCATATTTGAGTGGTTAAATTGGAGACTTCTTCAAATAGGAAATACCAAACTTTTCTCCCCACCGATTGACTCTTGACCAATTGTCTTATGTTGATGGGAGGAGAGGAGAAAACTAGAATCACTCACCCTTAGCCAGTCAGCTCCTGGAGCAAAGGATGAAATGCTGTGTGGAGGGTTCTGTCATCTAGTGTGTCACAGCTTCTATAGCCTGCAACTTCCTGCTTTGCTTACTTACAAGACCATCTCTGTGGAGAAGATAAAATACAGGAATGCAAAATGAAGTGAGATGATCACAACCTATTCCTTTATGCTACACATCACACATATGTGATGTTGACTTGGAAGTGTGTGCAGGCTGTGTGGCTGCTGAGGCTTTGACATAAGGCAGGGGACACTAGCTGCACAAAGCAGGAGGCAGGCTTTCCCACCAAGTGGACGGGAAGCCAGGGTCAACTGCTGGGGAAGAGCTGCAACCCTTTCCCCCATCACCTAGTTATCTTCAAGTCAGTTTTATTACAATAAGCTCTTGACATCCAGAGTGACACCATGCAGGAAAACATCCATCTTCTCATGGTTTAATATTAGTCACTTACAAATGTGTAAAAAGTAACTGTAGCTACATTTATTGAATATTTTCTATCTGCTAAACACTGTACATTTTATACACATCATCTAGTTTAATTTTTATAATGACTCATGAGATTCTATGATTATTTCTTTTTACAGATGAAGAATCATAGATCTGAGGAAGTTAATATATATGTTCCAAATTATACCTATAGTAAATACTGGCACTAGGAATGGAGCCAAGATCGTCTGACTCTGAAACTTGTGTTAATGCCGTTTTTACCTGTAAATAACTCTGTGGATTAAGAACAGATATTATTTCCATTTTATGGAAGAGTGGCAGAAAAGTGTAGTGGTCAGGAGGGTAAATGTGAGTGTTATAAGAGTCCATTTTAATTCTGGCTCTGTCGTTTATCAGTTGTGAATTTAGGAAATGTATCTAACTCCTCTGAGTTTTACAATGTCCTCAAATATCGAAATGTGTAGAACATTCAATCTCTTAGGGCCTCTCTGTCTTCGCCGTCATCACCATGGCTATCACGTATTTTGTGTTTTCTCACTTAATTTTTTCTCCTACCTGAAATTGCCAAGTAATTCCCCTTAAACCCTTAGGTTAAGAGGTGGCTACTACTATGCCACAATAGTAATCTTTATTGTACACTGTATGATTACTATATGCAAGTGTTTTTAGTGCATTATCTCATTCAACCTTTACAACGCCTGCACGCGATAAATACTAGTGTCATCTATAATGTATAGTTAGAAACAGAACTCGCCTAGAACTCGACACTACTGATTTCACTTCCCCTCTTCATACCCACCACCCTGACTGCCAGCTGACTTCGGAACTCGAAAAGGGCATCCATGAAAATGGCAGGAAGTGTCTTCAGGAAATGGAACGCTCCAGGAGTTTGACACTAAAAAGATTGGGAACTGTCCACCAACTGGTGCTACCGAGAATAGTGGTTGTTGAAAGGAATTTCAGTCTCCTCTAGTCCAACTTACTTTTCCTCAGGGAAGTGTCAGATACCTCCAGGTCCTCTTCAGAAGGGCAGCTGGAAAAACAGTAAAACCAAGTAATTCACCTGAGACTAAGCCGGAAGTAGTGCAAAGGAATCAAGCAGACTCTTAATTTATTACGAAGTCCAGCCACTCCGTTTGCTTTCTAACAACCTTGTTGCCTGGTATTGAGTAAAGATGCTATAAAGGATCAACACGTTTGGAAGTAATAATAATCTGCTGTCATGCTACATAATTTTCTCCACATTTGTTATCATTTATCTGATGGTAAATTTCGTGCATTTTATTGGAAAACCACCGAAAATGAAAAAAACAGCTAAGCTGTTTCGTATGTTTCGACCTAGATTTCAATTAAATTTTAATTATTCTCGTCCCGTGCCTATCCACCCTCGCCCCATTTTTTAAAAGACCTGGAGTCTAGGGTAGGAGAGATCAAGAGCATCCCAGAGGGCAGCAGCACAAATTCGCTCCCCTCCAGACCCTGCAGCTTGCTTCGCCCATCTCCCCTCCCCTTTAGCTTGGTCGCTTATCATTGGTCATTGCCATGGCAACCAGCAGCTGCCAGCCCAGCAGCCTCTACCGCAGCAGGGGTGGGGTACTGGGGGAGGGGGAGAGAGAGGAGGAGCCAGCGGAGGTGTCTGCTGCAAGTTCCTGGCTGCTTCCGAGCTCACCCCATCCTCCGAGAGGGAGGAGGCCCAACTGGTGATGCTGCTGCTGCTGCCGCCGCCTCTATTGCTGATACTCTAGTGGAGCTGGAAGGGTGGTTCCTATTCGCACCATCGCCAACCAGAAACAGAGAGAAAAAAAACGGCAGCCGCTGCTGATGTTGGGTTCGGAGGCTGCATCCGACTCGGTCACAAGGAAAATGGATTCAGTTTGCATCTCTCCCTCCTTTAAACAGCTTCTCCGAGTCTCAGCATGGTGAGTAGGAAACAGTAGGGCTCCCTTCTTGGTTTAGTGTGTTATTATTTGACCTGTGTATACATTTCTGGCCTGAACTTGAACAATGACTCCCGTGCCTCAGACTAGGAGCGGGAGATGTGGAGACAGAGATGAGGATGGAGGGAGAGGAAGGTTGCCAGGAAGACAGAAGTGAGAAGGCAACCGCTTGTGTTAAAAAAAAAAAATTTGATGTTCTGATTTTATCTCTAACTGGCTCAGAATGCAGACTGAGCCACTTGGTGCCTTTTTTCCTAAGCTTAGCAACAGCATCAGGGGTTGGAAAAGGAGCTAACAACAAGAAGAGGGTGTTATTGAAAGGAATCGTTTCATTTGCAGCTCTCACATACAGGGTTGGGCCTTCTTCAGAAACACATTTGGTGTCTCATAAGCTTCCTAGACTCATGATAGGTGGTTTTGCTTATTTCATTGATTGTTTAGAAAAGGTGGCCCTAGAATTCGACATTCTATTTTATATTCTAATGTACTCTTATTGAGAAATCATTTGCCAGAACCAGTTTTATTTTATACATAGATTTGATTGTGAACTTATACATGTATATCTTATGGATATACATATCATATATACACACATTACTTAGCATTTATATGGCAATTATGAAAGATATTTATATGTAGAGTGTGCTTTGCAATCATTTTTATGGGTTAGATATGTCCTTGCATGCCTGAAAGTAATTGCATGTTTTTGAAACTATGCTTCTGGTTTGTATTATTATTCATTGGCTTCATTTGGATTAATGTGAAATTTACTCTTGTTGTTGTCTCTTAATTTTATTGTGACCAATTGGAAGAGATGCCTATCATTTGATCTGTATCATAGAACTAGATGCAAATTCATAGCCTGCCTCTTTATTTTTAATTGGGTTTGTGGGGGGTGATATTGAGGACACCAAATTTACAATGATGGGAAAGGGAGGCGGCTTGTGGTATTATTTTGTTTCTAGCGTCTTGCCAAGTAAATGTTTGAGCAAATCAGTTTTCTGGAAATGCCACCCCAACCTTTTCATGTTTGTGCCTTGTGTCCCAGGAAGCACAGCTAAGCTGGAAGGTGAAATGCATTCATTTTATTTAATAGTGCTGCTATATGCTGTTCATTCCTTCAGTATCCAGGCACCATTTTACAGTTGTCTCAAATGTTGTATTGTGGGTCTCCTTCTGCAAATGATTAAGTAGGAAAGTAGGATTGTTTTGAAAATCTAGCTATTCCCAAGTACCTAGCCCAGCCATTTCTAAATTAGTCTGCTTATACAATGAAATGAAACCAGAGAGGGAGCAAAGCTGAGCAGGAAAATGTGTGGCTTGTAGCTGAAATGGGGGGCTATTGTAGTTTACAAATGCTTATTGGGATCTGCTTGACCTTTTATTATGTCAAGGCTTTAAGGCAGCTCAGGAGACTAAAGATGCTGGAGATGAGGAGGTTCCATTCCCACCCAGGATAATGGATTTCATTGAACTAAAGCTAGAAACATTTTGTAGGTAAAATGTATTAGTAATATTACATTCACCACATGGGCTATTAAGGTTTTATCCATTAATCTCTTCTCTAACAATATCGCTGTTAGTATAGACATTTTTTACAATGTAAAATAACAATTGTTTGGGGCTTAACCTTGCATATGATTCTACATACACCCCCACCCACATTTATAGTTTTCATATGTATTTGAATCAGATTTAAAGTTTAATTTCTCTGAGAATAATTGTTCTATTTGGTTTATACTTGAGAAGGGGCCTTAGTGACTTAATTGTGCGTGTGCTCATAGCATGCCATATGTTATAGATCCACAGCTTTGTAAACTCCTGCTACCGTGCGCCTAATTGTAACAACTATATGAAGTAGGGCAAGGAAAGAGATACTGGGCTTGTATGTTATATCAAAATTGTAAAACATTGCATCCTGAATCTTTCAGTGATAATTCTTGACTTCCAAAAATTAAAATGTTAGATATGTCTATAGTACACTCAAAAAATTAAGATTTGTACTAGTTGACCCCATTTCATGCAAGGAAAGGAGATATCCTGGGGTTTTGTTTTTGTTGAGTTTTTATAGGATGTGATTTTATAGGCAAAGTTGGTACAGTTCAAACAGAGGCAAATCCCTTAGGCCATGTGCTTGAAACTCCTTGTAGATAGCCTGTTTCTGCCTAGTGTCAGCTATTACCCTGATAGAAATACAGGTCTAGCTTTTGACCCCACAATTTAAGACAATTATATGGCCTTTGCTAAGGGGCCACAGAAAAGTGAAGTATGATTTAAGCACTAAAAGGTGAACTCTCTGAGGAAAGATTCTTTTAAAACTAGGATTATCTCATTTGGAGAAGAGAAAACTGAAATATGACAATTATTTGTTTCAGATAAGCTGAACATGAGGCATAAGCATAGGACATTGTTTATCGCTATTTTTTGGAACCTCAAATATGGTCAATGGGCTTCAACTTTATGAGGAATTATGAATATTAGAAATATAAAATTGTAGAAGTTCCTCATTGTATGTGTGAGTAGTCAACTGGCTAATCAGATAAAGCAGTTCACTCTTTTCTCATCAAAACCTCCGTAAGTATGACCTAGATATGCATTTGTCTAGGATGGACTAGATTTCCTTCTCAATAACTTCTCTTGCTTTTTCTAGAGGAAGTCATTTATTTAAGAGAGTATGTTCATTGTTTAAGATCAGGCACTTCTAGATTATAACAGTAAGACTCCATTTTGTAGTTGGCTTCTAAATTACAGGATCTAGGTATTTGTAAAAAAATTAACTGATTGTCTTCCTAGAGAAGTTTACATGTAATTCTGCCAGAATGCAGGAAACTGAACATTTACCCATTAACAGAGGCCTTTCTCAGCAACTTTTTGGATTGTGATGTCAAATGTCTATATTAAAATTATTTTCTGTTGTATGGTTAATTTTGAAAAATGTAATGTGTTATTTAAGGGGGTCTTGACACAAAATAATTTAAGAACCATCAAGTTGATTTTTTTAAAAAAAACAAATTTTTTGAAAGATATGTACAAATTAATGCTTAAATGTGTTGTTTAACAAACTAATCTTCCACTCAAACACTACCTTAAAAATGTCATTCATTTTGGAATATTGAAGTTAAATATTTTGATTGGTATGTAAGCCTTAGTAAAACTTGTTTTAATTAAGACACACGTTAATTACTTTCTCACTTTGTAATAGGATATTTCTTATTTCAAGTGACTTCAGAACATATTTTTATTTTATCTACCTTCTGCAAGTTGACTTCAGAATGACTTAGCCAATATTTGGAGAGTAAAATAGTTTTCTATATTTATTTTGGGTTCATCAAAAATCAATGCTTTGTTTCTCATGGTTGGAGTCTTATTGTGGAAGTTTTAACATAAATAACACAATAATGGGCTTTTACTGAAATAAAAAGTTAGGTTTATACTTGGTTGTTACTCTTTGAAGTCTGTTACAATTCCCTCTGTTTACAAATTCCACTATTATTCTATCAAGGGAAAAATGTGCTTTCAAACAGAATAAATTAATCAATTAACTAACAACTATTTGTAGAGCTTTTATATGACTAGGAGACGTTGCATATGTTGCAACAAAAGAATTTCCTTGGAGAATATAAGATCTACACCCAGGAAATAGTTAATGATGAAAACAATATAGTTGTAATTAGTACCATCACTTCACCTTATATTAATACAATTTTATATAATTCTGTCATTTTTCCATTCTTTATTTTTCATTTTATATTTATCAGTTTCAATTTCTATTCTATCATTTTAATTCAATCATATCAGCAAATCCAGTGTCATAACAATTATTTAAAATAAATGGGAACAGATTTAGGGAGGTTAGATTTGTTCAGATTTGTGTTTGGTGAATGGTGTAACAGGATGGATCACTAATTTCATGAGTACAAACTACCATAGTAGAAAGGTAGTGAATTATCTTACCAATTTGAATTTTAATTAGTAAAATAATTTTAATTCAATTTACAAATCTGCATTGTGTGGCTCATTTTAGTTCACTATTTCAGGTACCATAATTTGTTCTTTGAATGTATTGAGTTTGCCAAAAAAAGGGGGGGCTCACACAAAAAAAGTATTTTAGAGAAAATCTAGCCTTCTTGCTATTTCAGAAAAACCTAGAAGCATTTGTTTGCATGAAAATCAGAACTTTGTTGGACCAATATGCACTTATTTTATAGATAGATATTGTTATTTTTAATGACATAGAGGTTAGTAGGTGACCATTTTTCTATGCTTAGGATCAGATTAAAATTCCTATAGGTCCTGAATCTTGAAAAAAGTTTTGCCATTCCTACCTATATGTCCTAATTATCTCTCCACCTACACATTCTTAAAAGTAAAAATGATATTGTCATAAAATAAGTGTACATCAGTTCAATGATTTTTTGATTATTTTCTCTGAAGAAATGCTTCTACATTTTTCTGAAATATCAAAAATATTTATGTGTTTTTCAGATATTCTAATTTCTGGTGTCTCTTTTTCTTCATTAATGGCCTAGCAACATACTGGTGTGACAATTTGGTA